ACTGTCTCACTTCCACAACGGTCAGCATCACGAGCCGAGAGTCATACAATCCATGGATCTTACCGCCGAGTAAATTTATGTCATAGTACAAGACAGTCCTCCAAATATGAGTAACTAGAATTATAACTAATGCTCGTTTAATGGATTCTCGTGGAGTAGAGCATGATAACTATTAATCGAATGGACTGGCCTGTATTTTCACTTGCTCGGTCCATAGGTAACCCGAGATAGGCCTGATCATGAACTGACCATAACGTATAAGTTGGATGAGTGTGCTGGAAGTACGAAAAGAGCAAAGTTGTAATCACAACACATCAATATATTAGGGATACTTTCCTCCTATCACCTTTCACAGGGAATGATTTAGATACGCCTGAGGCCTACTTAGAACAACAATATGCAGATAGAAATGCGTAACGTCAATGTAGGCTTCAGAGTATTAAGTGGTTCCCTTGAAAAGGATGCCAGCACGACGAAGGTTGCTCTCGAACACGACGTTCCCGAGGTCGGTTAGAAGTAAGACAAGGGAGGTTTGCATCGTCTGAGCTGGGTCTGCCAACAACAATTCTCGCGCGTATCCATGTCTTCGCAGCCCTTTGACCAAACCGCAGCTTCCTCCACACATCCTTCATTCACACCAAACCAACTATAAATACACTGCCCATTCCAGTTCCAAGACCACGCAGGTACCTCAGCCTGCATAAAACAAAGCCCGTTGTTCCCTGCCTCTAGCAATCCCTTGCCCCAAGCTTACCGAGAGAAAAATCAAAACGCAGGGCGTCCCACGATGCTCGCCACCAACGCGCGCCAGAAGCGGGCGCGGCAACGGTACCTGCTGCAACCTCCGATCCCGACCCCGCGGTAAGACTGGAAGCCTGAAAAGCTTAGTACCTCCATCTCCACCTTGCGTCTCATGGCGATCTCACACGAGGCGTTGCAATACAAGTACGACTTATTTGTTTGTTCAGAAGCTGTGCGCCCGTTTGAAAGGCACAATGATCGTGAAAGGGTATCAGGTATGAGATTGCAGTTCTAGAAATCTAGAATCTAGCTATCAGGGTACAGCGTGTGCTGGCTTTGATGCAATAGAAACCGTGTATATACACTCCAGGCGCCGTCATCGCGCCTATATATCCTGTTCCAACAAAAAAAGAAAAAGTCTTTGTGTCGCGTGTCATTAATGATCCCGTCCGCATGACCGATTAATCCAAATCCCAGATGAAGCAATGAGGCGGAGTATCCTGACCATGAATGATGCGGATGAAAAGCCTGCTATCGCAAGAAGAACGCCGTCATAATGCATATGCAATTCCATGATGCTTGGGTTGTTTGACAAAGGAAAATATGGCTCGCTACACCTGCCATTACGCGGCCATGAATGCCGCCATCATGGCCAACAGACCACTTATTATGGCGTAGTTGGCCGCGCCGGTCGGGGTCGAAGCGGCACTACTCTTCTTCGCCTGCGTGCCGTCTGGTTTGAGGACGGCGTTGGTGCCTATCTGGGAGCCAATGTTTGCTACTGCAGCTTGGCTGTCGCGGACGGGAACAGAAATCCTGCCGTTGCCGTCGGCTTTGGTGGTTGTGACAGTGTTGTCAGTGACTGAGGACGCGCCAGTAATGTCGTCGTACTTCATGCCGTTCCATGTGACGTCTGTTTGCGACTCTGCGCCAGGGCCCGTAAGATACGAGATGAAGACATCCTTGTTAGCGTGTGCAGAGCCTAGGTTAAGGTTGAAGGTGAAGCTGCCCTTGTCGGACGAAGACGCATTGGCTTGTTTAGCGTTGATCATAGTGATGGACTGTAGGTGGTCGTTTGCGTAGGCGGCGTACGCACGGATGCGGCCGTCGTACGCAGCACCTACGTTGCTTGTAGAAAGAGCTGCAATCTGCGTGGTTCCGTTGCCGTTGCCGACAATCTGTGCGACGGCGGCATGGGCGTAGTACTGTGGTCGTACGAACGAGGTTTCACGACCGTACATGGGGATAGGCGACCAGGCACTGGCGTTGGAGTTGTCGGTCATGTGCATCTGGACCGAAGAGATACCAATGGACGCTGCGTAAAGGAAGAAGTTGAGCGTCCACAGGGAAGCACCGAGGGTGTCACTGACGCCGGGCATGCCTATTGGTCCGACAGAGCTCATCTCGCGCAGCACGTAGGGGTGGTCTGTCTTAAGGGCGATTCCAACCTGCTTCTCCCAGTACTTGAATTGAGTGTTGGTGGCATCAAGGTCCATGAGGTCGTCGAGAGTGAGGGGGGTGGGGGTTACTCCGATGACTGCAGCATGTTAGTACGGCATGTGGGTTAGGGAGAAGGAGGCATACAGTAGAAGTAGTCGTGCTGGTTCCAGGTGGCCAGGAAGTTATCGCCGTTCCTACCCTCCATGATGCCATCGTCTACGAGTTGCGCAATCTCGAAGGTGGTTCCGATGGTGGAGGCGGTCGCAGGAGCCTCAAAGAAGGATGACGGCAGGTTGGCAGCCTTGAGCACGCGCTCGTAGACGACCTCGGCGCGGTCCAGCCATTGGGAAGTGTATGTCTTTCCGTCCCAGGGCGCAGAGCGGAACGAGTTCTGGAGCCACAGATCGGGCTCGTTGCCAATCTCGAACGAGTACAGTTTGACGTTCTTCATGCCGTCGACGGCGGCTTGCGCCAGCGCGGTGATCTGGTCCTCATAGTCGTCGTCCATGTAGGCCATGTTGAGTCCGAAGGTGACGGGCGTGTCCTTGGGAAAGCGCTCGAGCGCGGTGAAGTAGTTGGGTCCAATGATCATGGAGTCGGCCGCAATGGCACCCTGTGCCGTCGAGTCCGGGTTCGAGGTCCAGCCATAGTTTGTGTTGCTCGACTCAAAGACCATGTAGTCCTGCGTGTTTCCTCCCAAGCGAATGTGCGGCGGCGCGCCCGAGTAGTCTGCGAGGTTCTGCAGCAGTTTGACGGTGAATTGGTTGGGCTCCTCCTTGCCGGTGAAGGAGAAGAGGTTCGAGGGCTCGATGCCGAAGCCGGCGTACGAGGGGTCGAGGTAGTCGGAGGCGCCATCGGGCGGGCTGTTCCCTAGCGATATGGAGATGGACTGGGCGAGGGCAATGCGCACGGCGGGAAGCGAGAGTAGGGCTAGGCTGCGGGCAGATAACGAGGGCAACATGGCGGCAGAGGGGAGCCCGAGCGGAGCAAGCGAATGCAAAGAGTAAAGAAACAGCGGAAAGTAAAAGTCAACTAGCAATCAGGAAAAGCGAGCGCAGGGGAGGTTATCACAGGAAACGAGAGCGAGGGACATGCAGGACATGCAGCCAGGGTCGATGATGAGTGGACGGCGGCGGCAGCGTGTCAACGCTTTCAGACATGCGTCACTAACTGGGCCAAAAGTGGCCCCGGCCCGAGCGACGCCAGAGGACGCGCCAGACCACCAGACTCAACAACACATGACATCACGAGCCGCCGTGCTCCCGGACGCTGCGACACCAAGCAGCCCCGTCTGAGACGCGCGACTTCAAACGCTGCAGTGGGTCGCTGGCCATGGCTGCTGGCATGGCATCCCACGCTGCTCTCTCGCTCGCCCACCAGCGTTGCGCGTTGTGCTGGGAAAAGAGGATTTACGCGTCAGCTCTTCCGAGCAAGTGTCCGTTTCTAATTGTGGTGGCTGCCTCAGATCTGCACCCACGCCAATCTGAGCGGCTACCGAACCCTTAGCCACGAATGATCCGCCGCAGGAGGCTCAATAAGCCTTGTTTCGCCATGGCTCCGAATCCGCATCATGATCCTTCCTCGATCCTGTGCCGTCTTACCCTCGAGCCAGGCCTCGTCATTAACACCATGGAGTCTACGACGTGGATCCTCGCGGCAGCTTGACCACCTTGGAGCGCGCGGCACGCCTCCTACGCACTCCACCACCCACTCAACGCCCCGACGCACTGCGTTTGGGTAATCGTATTTCGATAATTGCACCCGTGTTCCGTCCACAGCCACAGCCCAACCCCTGCACCCGTTCGCTGCCTCCATATTGGCCCGTTGAGACGACGGCTCTTCCAAACCGGAATGCTTGATTTATTGCCCAGCCTCTTCCAGCTCTCCACCCCAGCCCCTTCGTCACAGCCGTATGCTACGTCTTCCATCTGTCGCGCTGGAGAAAAGCTTTTCGATAGCACATTTGCTAGCCCAAAGTTTGACACGACTAGCATCGTCTGCCATCATCTAGCTCTCTGCACCTCCTATAATAGCATCGGGTCTCGAGCAGGTCGACCGGCCATTCTCGTCCACCGTTGCCCACCACCTCTTGGCTCCAGCCGCCTCAACCCGAAACCCTGTGTTCAAACCTCAGCCCAAACTGACGCCATACTCGGTGTACGCTTGCAGCTGGTAAAACGGATCTCGTGGTCTTTGTACATGTACGTCTATGCCAATCAGGATGCTTACAACACACATGTTGGGGTAGACGTCGCTTGCGACGACGGTCAAAATTCCCCGCGCTGGGCAGTGTCGTTCCACCCTTGCACACACAGCACACTACTGGAATACGGCATTCTAGCTGCAACTACCAGATGACCATTATACGCTCTCCATGCAGGGAATTCAACTCCGGTCTTCTGATCAAGGAACTTGGTTGCATGGTCTGGTCAAAAGTGCCGTAGTTCCGACACGGCATTGATCGGGATGACGTATAGAGAGCACTGACAGTGAAGGAACTACATTGTGAATCAAACCTAGACAGCTATACCTATGTCATATGGCCGCTTGCTATGGAGCGTCTAACGTCTGTGCACACTACCACAAGCATGCTAACACCTCGCACAAGAATAAAACCAAACAGGTCTAGAGCCTACATTAACGTTAGGTCACCTACTTTGCATGTTTTTATCTTGATGTAGGCTCTACAGTGTTCGGATGTTTCCTTGTATAATGTGCTGACGTGTTTCAACGTCCAAGCAGAATGAGTATGAACAATGGCTCAATCTTACAAGAAATGTGAATTCTACTACGAACTCTCGTCTCTCAAGTTCCCCTTCTCACAACTTGCCCATCATCAGGTTTCCGATCATCTCCCGCCCAGTAACCACAGTAGTCCTCCACAATGTTGGGAAATCCAACGTACTCGAAAAGGCTATTATCCACCCGTTAGTCTCGAACTACATAATAAACTGAGATTAGAGTATGAAAGGAGATCAACTTACTATCAGCATACCCAAACCCAAGCATCGGCGGAATCCACCCCCTCGCATACTCCAACGCAAAGCACTCCCCCTCCATCTTATACTGCTTAACATCGCCCCTAGTAAGATGATGCACACTCCCCTGCGGATACCTCTCCGCCCCATACACCCCCTTCCCAGGCGCATAAGCCAGCTGCTCGCCCTTGAGAATATGAAAGTAGTCATCCGCGGTATGCCGACCCGTATGCCCCTCCGTCCCAATCGCGGTACCAAAAATAATCAGATACTCAGTAATGGAGGCGTGGATAATGTACATGGCGCCCATGGCGCCGCCGGCGTTGTTGAAGATCCATTCTTCGTCGAGGTTGATGTGGGGGCCGTGGAGGGCGGAGAGGGAAGTGACGATGTGGGAGACGACGGATGCTGTGTCGTTGCCGTGGAGGGAAATGGCTTCTTGGGAGAGGGCGTGTAGGCCGGAGGGTGTGAAGATGTAGAATTTCTCTAGGTGTGAGTCTAGCGTGTACATCAAGGTGGTTAGGATGCCGAGGATGGCGCCGAGGGCGAGGAGGATGCGCATTTTGGTGTTTGTGTCACCCTCTGTGAGGAACTTATTAACACAAGAAGTAGAAATTGAAAGAGTGACCCAGTCCAATCATGAACCGTTTGCGCAAAGAGTGTGTTTTGCTGTACTCTTCAATCTGCGAGGATCGTGAGGTTTTTCTTCATTATCAAGACGCACGTGCCAGCCGGAATAGGAGAAGTCCGAGACCCCGGATCGCCAGTTCATCTAAGATGGAGTGTGGGCTGTTGTTTGCTGAAAGCCTTCCGTCTTCCGAGTGGGTATGATCAAATTTTGGCTAGCCCGAACACACGTTGGTAATAGTATTTCGAGCGTTGACGGCCATTGTAAAGGGGTATACGGATATTTCTACAAGCAAAAAGCTGTCTACAAATCGATTACCTCCTCTTTCGCCCCCATATTACCCTTTGAAATGATACGAAATGTGCGATAAATGACCATGCCCGACCTTTTACCGTCCCAGACAACGCCCCAGCCCATGCAGAACGTCGTGAATCTCATGCTATACGCCATTACATACCCAATATACCACAACACCGTGTGCACCTAGAAGGACTATCTTCCTCATTACCACCTCATACAAGAAGAATAACTGAACAGGTCCGGAGCCTACATCAACATGAACACATGGAAAGTAGGTGGCCTGACGTCGATGTAGGCTGCAGCCCTGTCCAGTTTTTCCCAGGTTGACGTGTTACCACCCCCCGATGAAGGTAATGAAGCCATCGACCATGTCAATCCAATCCTGGCCATTGAGTGTACCAGCCTGCCTCTTCTCCCACAGCACGTTCACCATCCTGCCCAAACGAAGTCTCGCCTGCTCTCCCGCCTCGCTGGTGCCATCGTTCCTAACGAGCTGCACTTTTCCACCAGCAAACTTCTCACTGAGATCGATCTTGAAGCTCGCGTCACCGTCAGGCGGGCAGTAGAAGTCCTCTTGCGATGCTGGCGCTGGCCCGAGGACACCCGGAGCGAGCTGCACAAGATGCCCGTGGATGAGCATGCTCTGTGTGTGGCTCCGCCTCGGCTTGAACAGCGCGCCACGCACTGAGAAACTGACGAGTCGTAGGAGCCCTGCGCCGTCGCCCAGCCGAATGATCCAGTCTCGGAAGGCTTCGTACATCATCTTGAACTCGACTTTTATGACCCAGAGATTGTAGCTGTAGAAGATGGCGAGCGCTTCGGAGCGGACGAGACGCGACACGGAAGCAAGGGCGTGCTGCATTTGGCCGTCGAAGGTAGAGATGCAGTATACGAGGGGCTTATCGATGACGAGGTTCTCGCAGTTACGGTAGATTTGGTGACGGATCTCTGGCGGGAGGGTGACGAAGGTGGGTGGGGCGTGGGTCGTGTCTTCGGCGGGAGTTGTGTGTGTTTCTTGGATAGACGTAACCTGGACATCTTCCATGTGAACAATCTCAGCCTCTTCTTTATGAGAGGCAATATGTGCGGCCCAATCCTTCTGTACGTCGTTGGACCCATCGAGTTGGACACGGTTCAGGCTGTGATTTCTGGAGTGGGAGGGCGAGAGCGCGTAGTCGTCCATGTGCTCATCGTCGTCGGGTCTTTCTTCTGCGTACAGTTGCAGTCCTTCCAGGCGAGTGGCATCGGGCAGACTCGACACGCCGTAGGGCTGCGAATGCTCAGGCGTCGATGGGAACGAGGTAGCCTGACTCTCGACGCCGTGGCAGTAGTCATGGTCGCTCCCGTCGCCCAGGAGGTCCGTATCATCCGAATCGGTGTCTGTGTCGGAGCTGATGTCTATGTCCACGTTGAGTCTGTATCTCGGGATCTTGGGCGGCAGCTGGTGCGTGGGCGAGCTGGGCGAAGGCAGCTGGGTCGCGGATCGTTTGCTTGATGTGCGTACGATAGTGCCCTTCTGGGCCATGTTCCTCCCTCTCCGCTGGGCGGCCGCGCTGGCCTCGCTGTTTGAACTCAGCTCCGGCGCGCCGTCACAGTAGCCGCACGGGGGAGTCTGCACGCTAGTATCCAGAGGCTGCAGTTTGGGAGAGCGCGCTTTCATGGCTTCGGCATCGTCGGGGGGCGTCTGGCCCGTGACCGAGTATCGGCGCTGGGTAACCATGGTATATGGTAGTATATGGGCGGGAGCGGGAATGCGAAGGGGGAACTTGGTGCGAGGGCGAGGGCGAGTGGGATTACGTGGTGTTGGGTGGCAGGCTCCAGCAAAACCTCTTGGGCGGATGTGCTGGCAGGCTGCACGATGACCCTCTGCAGGCCCTCGACGCGTGCAATGGGCAATGGGCGAGGCTTGCGGGGTGCGTTGAGTAGCGCTGCGGATGCGGCCGAGTGGACTGAGAAGCGGATTCGCGGGTGGGCCGACACCACTTTTTTATCGATTACGCTGCTGAGATGAAGCTAGAGGGCTGTCGCTAGATCAATCACTTCGAACAGGTGCGAAAAGACAGAGCTATAGAGTCGGCCTCAGCGGATCATCAGGAGATGAAGGGCGTAGCATGTTTGGCAACTGGGCAACAATGCCGCGTTTCATGACACCGCAATTTGTCGTCAATGCTGCACTGCCCACCCGACGATTATCATGCTCCACCCCAATCTCTCGTCTAACCAATATTCCCTATCCCGCAATACTGAGGCGCCTCGCAGAACCATGGGTTACGAATCTGGCTTATCACGATATTGCGATCCGCACTCCATGGCGTCATGTCAGCGCATCCTATTTTCACGGCCTGTTGGGTAGGTGAAACGAGTTTTGCTTATGTTGGAACTATCACTGCGTCCTCTCTAGCCTGAGCTTATTTCGGAAGAGCTTCAGCTCAAGGATTCTGATTCCGCTTCTGATACGATGCGTTGGCAGCTGAATACGTTTCGATTACTTATCGTTCTTCACAAAATCACAATTGCAGTTGCGGAATACGTTTCCATCACTTGTCGCTCTTCAGAAAATCATGCTTGCAGTTACGGAATACAGCCCAAAATTCCAGGCAGAATGAGCGAATAAACTCAACAACTACGGCCTACGTCTCTCCTAAATACGATCCTGTTGAAGGATATCGCAAAATCTCACTACACAAGAACTCATTTTCCCTCGCGACACGCATGTTGAAATGGTGTTATGCCCTCAGTGCCCTGTCAGTCTCCTACAAGCCCCTCTTCTTCTCCATGCCCACCATGGGTTCCCTGACCATGATGTCCAGCGGGATGTTTCTTCCACCCCTCTGCAGGTTGATCTGCCTGGTCTCTTCGAAGCCAAACTTTCTGTAAATCGGAGGGTTCGTAGCGTTACTCGACTCCAAGTAGCATGGTCTGCCTTCGCGGTCTGCAAGCTTCGTTACATGCTCAATGAGTTTACGAGCGTGACCTTTGCCACGGCCACTGGGCCTAGTACCTAGGTAGACAAGGTACCAGGCGTCGTGCTCTCGCTCACCGAGCGTCGTGTGCATGGTATCGTGGAGGAGGGGCATGAATTCGTCGAAGAAGCGCCGTTTCCCTTCGGCGGAGAGGCGGTAGTTGAGGCGCCACATGCCTGAGCGGAACATAGTCAGATAGTCGTCCATGTTCTGGCCGGGTGGCATCCTAGATGTGTGAGCTCATGACGCCTTCATTGTCTTCAAGACTTACCATAGGGCAACTGCTTCAAAGTCGCCTACCGTAGTCACTAGTCCCTTGAGGATGTGAGCATACGTTATGTACTCGAGAATCTCAACATGAAGCGCCCACTTTTGCTCCTCAGTCCAGTGCGCACGATCGGGCACGTCGATGAAGTACCTCGCAACGTCGTCCTGGCCGAAGGCTTCCGCCAGACACTCAGCAGCCTGCTTGTACTCCGCAGCCGTAACGACGCGAACGCCGTCGGTGAGCGGAGGCAGAACAGTAGCGCCAGCAGCAGTTGACTTTGGTTTCAAGATCCTGAAGCTAGCAGGTACTTCATTGACCCTAATGTTAGCCGACTTCAAGGTTGAAGACTTCGTGTCCACTGTGTAATTACAGCTGACTGGCGCAACATGGGAGAATGCTTTCGCCATGATTGTGGTTTTGACTGTAAGCCTCTACTAGTATTCAGATGGGATCTGCCGCTTCGTTTGATTATAGGGACAGTCGTCGAATTCGCCAGCGTGAGGTGTTCCCCGCAGGGCTTGAACGGGATTCGGCGTGGGTGAGACGTTAGTCACTTGAACTGCGGGATATCTAGACGACGACCGTGAGTTCAAACAACACTACTAGATTGTGATTAGTCTACTCTGGTTGCTACAATGGGTCGTCGTGGGCTGAGCAGGAGCCGTGACCGTCGATTGCCTGCTACATGGTATACCTTTTCTGAGCTCGGATGTTTATGTTTTAGCCGGACGATTAAGATCTCCTGTATGAACTCTAGAGAGCTGCGATCTCGAGACGGTATCGACTCGAGAAGGGTAGCGTAAAGAAGTGAAGGCTTGACGTAGATCAACCGACATCAATGTACGAGGCTACAGAGGTCCCTTTTGAGTACACGCTTGACAGCTACGTCGTAGAGTGTGTCTCCGATGAGGTAGTCTTGCGTCGATAGTATGCGCCTGGGCCGTCGATGTGCCAATCTTTGTGTGTGTGGACTGGTGGCAGTTGATGTATGGCTGCTTAAAGTTTGGGCTTTGCTTTTTGACTCGCTGGCAGCTTTGTCACAAGACCAGTGACAGCACTGCAGTACGATGCTTGGCTGATGTCGAGCGGCAGCAGCTGCGTATCGTGAAGGATTGCAAGCACAGATCGGCTGCGGTAAGATGCGTATGCCGTGGGGGCACAGTGGCTAGTAAGCTGATGTAGTATGGGATGAGGATTGACAAGCTGTGTGTGTCTGTGACGGAGATGAAGATGGGAAGTCGGGACTTTGATATACTTCACCTACCCGGCTTGATCGGCGTACCAAGCGCCGTCGGGTGGAGGTACAGGTCATGCTTCACATGGCTCGATGCGGGAGCTATCTTCGGACCAACCGCTTAGCCCGTTAAGCATACGAGTTTCGTTATCATTCGCCCTGTGACCTT